TCATACCAACCTGGCCCGTATGTTATAGCTGTCAACGCCTTTACGATATCGTGGGCCAATTATACATTTTATGCGTTCCCGCCTTTTAGCATAATTTTGCAAGTGTTACAAAAATAGTACAAGTTAAAAGCACAGGACTAGTCTTAGTCCCTCACTGGCCAACACAAAGTTGGTGGCCAGCTTTAATGCAGATGCTAATAGCGCATCCTGTTGTTTTACCTAGAGGAAGAATGACCTTAACTCTTCCGGCTCATCCGGATCAAATCCACCTTTTCAATACAAAATTGGAGCTACTACTTTGCCATTTATCGGGGAACTCCTCTCTGATAGAGGCATTTCACCAGAGGCTTCTCAGATCATCAAGCAGTCTTGGCAGATCGGTACCAGTATTCTACATACCTTAACTATTGGCGACAATATTGCAACGCAAACAGTATCAATCCTGTCGTGTCCTCTGTAGAAGAAGGCATTAATTTTGTTACAAAATTCTACCAGGAAGGTTTATCCCACAGCGGTATTAATACTGCAAGGAGCGCCTTATCCACTATCCTAATGCTACCAAGTGGCATCTCGTTTGGTTCTCATCCATTCGCTGCTAGGTTTGTTAAAGGTGTATTTGTTGCAAGACCAGCTCTTCCTAGATATGCCATGACTTGGGACGTTTCAGTGGTATTCAAACATCTTCGAAATCTCCACCCACCAAAATTCTCAATTTGAAATCATTAACACTAAAAACAGTAATGCTTTTAGCATTATTATCTGGTCAGCCATGCCAAACACTTCATGCATTGGATATTTCTCATATGGAGAAGAAAGAAGATTGAATAGTTTTTCATGTGCACCAATTGCTCAAAACATCTAAGCCTGGTAAGCATGCTGCTCCTTCAGAATTTCGAGCTTATCCACCAGAGCCTGGGTTATGTGTATTCAATTACATGTCCCATTATCTAAATGCCACTGCACCCATACGAAATAGTGCGAGACATCTCCTATTAAGCTATCAAAAACCTTATTATTTGGTCACTTTAGCGACAATTTCCCGATGGTTAAAATACGTGTTAAAGGATGCTGGTATAAATACTGAGGTTTAAGTGCACACAGTACTAGAACTGCATCAACTTCTGCGGCAAACGCATTGAATATTTCTATGGACACTATTATGAATGCAGCTACATGGCGTGATGAACAAACTTTCAAACATTTTATAAAAAACCAATTGAGGCAAAGAACTTTGGCAATGATCTACTTTCTGCCATTTATGAGACATGAAATGTGAAATTTCAATTATATTATTATGTTATTAGTTATTGCTCATGTTCACATTGCTTTAAAATCTCACATGACTTCCTAGTGACGTAGAACAGTGACGAAATAGAATTAGAAAATTAAACGAGACTTACCTGAAGTCGAAGTTTGATTGAAATTCTATGAGTTACTGTTCCGGAACTAGGAAGTCACCCACCCAACTACTAACTTATTTCTTTTCAAATGATGTTAAATACTACTTGCCTCCCAATACGTATGTGGACGTTCGCAAATTTTTTTAAAAACTGATCTTGATATCGCGCGCTCTATCTCACATGACTTCCTAGTTCCTTAACAGTAACTCATAGAATTTCAATTAAACTTTCGACTTCAGGTAAGTCTCGTTTAAATTTCTAATTAGTTTTGCCACCATTCAAGATGGCGGCTTACCTCACCCATACTATACAATTTCGGCGGAGTCAGATATCTAGTAGATTGGGTTCTAGGTCATTGTGCATGACGCGTGCATAAACCACATGGAGATCAGCGTATTTTTTATTGAAAAACAATACAAGAGATTGTGGCAGATGTTGACAAGCGGTCACAGTTTTTTCATTTGTAGTGTGTCGTTTGTATCAAAGTCAACTTCTCAATGCGTTAAGTGGAGTTCATTAACAATTTAAATACGAAAAATTGGCGTTCTGCGAAAATTAAATGGTCTACAATGTCACAGCTGCTTTAACATTCTCTTAAAGTATGGTACATATACCATGATGGACTAAAAGTATAAGTACAAAGAAAAGTATTCAGTTCAATTTTATTTACAGTCACAGAGATGATATTTTTCAATGCTATTCAGTATGAAAAATTCAAAATAACATTGAAGATCCGAGAAACACCTCTGTGCGACTTTCAGGTATACGATGATTACAGTCAAAATGAAGAATTTTTTCTCCTACATCAAGTACTAGTATCGTGTCTGGCATATTATCAAATGGGTATAACAAAGAAATCAAGGTATGAAAAAAACCATTTGAAGAGTTTACTTCTTGGATAAAGTCAATATATAATCATTTGTGATGGTGCGTTCACAGAAAGGAATTGATCTCTCGTCTAGCTCAAAGCCGGTCTCTTCACGTAGCACTAGAAGAAATAGTTACCAATAGTAAGTTATTGAAAGTCCTGAAGAAACCCGTCTAAGCAATGCCATTTAGTTACCTTTTAAGCATGCTCCAAAGCATTTAAGTTTAAATGGAATGGTAGCATGCACCCAAACAGGCGATTCTTGATCACAATGCTCATGTACACAAGTAAGCTGGACAAACAATTTCCAAAGAGGTGAACATGATTGTCGTGTAGTTAATCCCCTAATCAATTATGATATTTGAATTAAATATTCATATTATTAGAGTAGTATTTCAATAGCTGTACATAGGTATTTAGGGCATTCATTAAATTGTCTATGAACAAGCAACGCTACAATGATCTTGTTTGCTTATTAAATTAGAAGAAAACGACAGATGATGTTCGTGATTTACTTCTACCAAAAAATTGAAAAAATCTTACCATAGCTTTAGTATAGAGATGCTGTAGCATATCAAAAAGAAGTTGCAGATAAAGCACCTCCTTACTATGCAATAGTCATTGTAGAAACAAGGTATTAGAGTATTGGCTCTCTTAGTTTAGCATTGAGAGAAAGAATTACGAATAGTAAAAATTACTGAAAAACCTCGAGGAACTCTCTGGAGCAATGGAATTTTATGCTCCTAAACGCGAGCATTTCTGTTGGATGATGCAAGATATTCTTTCAATTGAGGGAGAGAAGGAAATTTGCCACAAGCACAAGCCTGTCACACAGGCAGCATGTATTGCAGAGATTTTTTCAGTTTAAATTGATAAGCCATTTTGTCTAGTAAGAATCCTATGGATCAGTCAGTCATGTGGAAAAACAATAAATGCAATTAAAAATGCTTAGATAAAGTTAAGTTTTAATTAATTGCTGAATATCGAAGAGTTCTCATGAAAATAGCTCAGGGTTTTTTACATATGTTGTTTGAATTGTGTTCAGGTAAGGGTTTTTATTATATTGACTGAATTGTGTTAAATATCGGTAAAGTTGTGAAATGAAAGCGCTGTTTTCGACTTTAGAAAGCTAGACAAATCCTTTTCAAAGAAAAGCAAAAGAGAAGAAGGCCAAAGATCTTCGTAATTTACTTCTACCAAAAAAAATTGAAGAAAATTCGTACTATAGCTTTAGCGTGAAATGCCTGAGCCTAATGAAAGCGAAATAGCAGATAAAGCAGTATTATATCATATAATAGTCATAGCAGAAATAAGTAAATTTAACTTAAATGAGTTATTTAGAATTCTCTCAGTCACACATCTTGGTTTATGGTACCTCGAGACTGCTCCTATGAGAAAAAAACCCAGCTGAGTCATCACCCTCACTGCTCCCCAGAGAAGAAAAAATCCCAAGCTGACTCGTCTTTTACGAAAGAACTTCAAAGGAGTGCTTCAGCAGAAAAATCATTGCGACGATAATTAGTTACGATTATTATTAGTGATCGTAAAAACTAGAGAGAGATTGTAAATATACGCTTTCCTGCAAGTTACTAAAAGAAAGTTCGTCAATTAGCATAACTGACGTGATTTTCGATGATAACTATCAAGGGGTTTTAATGAGGAACTTTGAAAGGTGTTAATCTGAATGAAGTACGCACTATCTGCTTTTATGCATGATAAAGTTGGAAACTCAAAGTTTTCTCAAATGTTGAACACAAGACAGAACATGAATTCTCTAATTTACATGTCACTAAAACTTTAATAATTTAAGACGTAAGCATGCAAACATGTTAAAAAAAATTCCATTGCAGTTTTAGGAGATTTTCAATCATATAGGCAATAAATTGTAACTCGAATCTTGAGTCTCCAAGATGATGTTTGTAGTATGGTTTCTATTATACACATTTTTCTGGTCACTAATGACATGCACGCATTTGAACGAAACACACATTCATGTAGAAATTCTGCATGTCCATAAGCATATAATTGCACTAATAGGCATTCAAATGCAAAATATATACATTCCTGAATGTGAAGATGCATTCATTAGAAGTGTTGAAATGGTCATTTACGCCAATTGAGAATCAATAGAGAAATATAACAATCAGTTACTTATTTATGAATAAATAGGCAAATGTGTGTTGTATTTTCAATAATGCTTGTCGATCGGGGTGAATGACTATTCCAACAGTTGTATTTAATGTATTTCCACTGACTAGAACCCAATCTACTAGTTATCTAACTCCTCCAAAATTCTATAGTAACGAGTGAGACCAGTGAGAGAAGCCGCCATCTTGAAAGGTGCCAAAACAGACGATACTTTTCATGTGTTGATATACAGCTGCAAAGTTGATAATCTAGGTTTAATTTTTAAAATGTTTGAGAGAATTGGGTTTTTAAACCTTCTTATAAATTATTTTTCATTTTGAATTTTGCTTTTTGCCACCTTTCAGGATGGCGTCCTTGCCTAACATTTACTCGGTACTTAGACATCTAGCGGATTGGGTTCTAAATCATTGATATTTCACACTTTTGAATGTATTTTTTTCGCATTGAATGCCACTCTCTGCAATTGAAAGCTTATGAATATGCCAAATTTCTACATGAAGGCGTGACTCATTCAGATGCGTTTGTGCAATTAAAGGTACTTTGCAGTATCTATTGCGCATAAATGAATGAATATTTTCCCTTGATGACCAACAATATGTATATTTATTAAAATTTTTGGTAGGGAAAAAGTTTTTGCCATTGAGAGTTATTGGCTTTGCAAATGCTACTTGATTAAGGAAAGGATAGAACGTGCAATGTAAAATTGAGATCTTCTATGGGTTTGTTGCTCATAACATAAAATTAAATTAACTATCGCACACGCAATTATTTAAATTTCATTTTTGCATGATAATGCTTATAAGCTATTAAAAAATTTTCATAAAACTTCCATCTCTTATATATTGCAGTGTTAGGATAGTTTTGTAGATAAATCTAGTGTTGGGAATTTTACTACGTAAAGTAAATTAAGTCATTGGAATCTTTTCCACTTTACTTCCATTGAAAAATCGAATTTCTGCCTCCATCTTCGAAACTTTCAGTGACTTTTCTAATTTTCTTATTTTTTTCATTATCTTCCAAATCCTAAAATAAAGTGGATTGTTGTATAGTTAGCATACACATAATTGCATTTGTAACTAACACTTGCAAACTATGCAAAAGTATGTTTCGTTTAGCGCGCCATTATTGCGCTAGGTATCATTTTATAACAACGTTGAGTTTTTTACTGTTTTTTTGTCGTGGCTTCGGAGCTGGTTCCACTGAAGAAGGGGAAAGCCCCAGCCCTTGATCTAGCGCCACTGAGGCGTCTTTGCAGGTTAAGTGTCCGGTATAACGCTATCCAGGCTTCGTGTAACTGGCTCCAGGGTTGCTTTTCGGGTCTTCTCTAAAATCGAAAGGAAAGCTGATTAAAGAAGTAGCAATAGTGCTTCATGCGAATATGAATGCAAAAAAAGTAGACTCGTTTAACAAAAAATTCTTGAGGTGGAATGGCGCCAGTTTAACGCAGCTCTTGACCGTCGCTAGTTTAACTTTGCTGGCCGGGTGTTTCACCCTCTTGCTCTTAACCAAAACTATGACATTCGGCTCTAATAGCCTAGAGGAATGCGCTGGTTTGTATACAGCAGTTGTTATTCGCCTGGCTTCCCAGGTTATAGCATTAGTAGGCGATGCATCGCATTGTGCCTAGTACACTGCCGTAAAGATTATTATCAAATTGTTTAGAATTTTTTGTGGTTTCCTTTGCGGCGATAAGCTTCACAAAGGGTCAATTATGTGTCCATGGGAGGGCTCGCATGGACACACTTCAGCTGCGGCATTTAGAAACTGCGTAGGGTGAACGTGCTTACTTGTTCTTTCCAACTTGACTCTGGCCTTATGGGAATGGGCGTCAAATCGCAATATTCATCTCAGTGCAGAACATCTACCTGGTCCGGTAAACGTATTTGCAGATTGGTAGTCTCGGTATTTCAACGGATAGAATACTTGGCACTATGTAACGAGATTTTTCTTGCTTTAATGCGTATTCGGTGGCCTTGTGCGTTAGATCTTTTTGCGGACAGGTTGAACACTCAACTGCTTCTCTTTTACAGTTTGAGACCAGATCCTTTAGCTCTGGCAGTGGATGCTTTTGAACAGAACTGGTCAATCTAGAAAAACCAACCCTTTCCACCTTTCTGCCCAATTATGCAGTCCTAAGCAAAAATGCGGGATTTCGGAGGACAGTTGATTTTGGTAACCCTCTGTGGCCCACACAAATTAAGAAAAAAAAGTTTGGCAATATAAACAATCCATCCCCCGAAATGTTTTAAGGCTAGCTTTGCTTGACAATGTACTTCACTTATAAAATATAACTTTGCATTAATACATTCTTTAATTGTCTGATTGTCTAACATTCTCCGATTGTCTAGGTAAGTTAGTTCTGCCAATGCACTACTTTCAATGACAAAATTAAGATATTCTGCAAGTTATTAACAAGAGAAAACATACCTGTTTGTTTGGATTCTTTGACAACTGATATTATTGATGACGTATCTATTCCACCGCTATTGTTGGCAGTACAGCGATACCTGCCCTCTATCTTTACTGTTAAAGAATAGTTGGGTAAAATATATTTTCTCTCGTTCATATCTTCATCACAGATATCAGATTGGCAAATGTACCATTTGAAGGTTACTTCTTGTGGGACATATTTCTGCGTTAACGTACAGTTTAGGACCGAAAATCCTTTCTTTAAAAATCTTTTGTGTCTTTAATGTAAATTTTAGGTGCAACTGAAAAAACAAATGTAAAAATTGAAAGTGATCCTTTTATTATGCATGAGTCAATTCTGAGAAGCTGAATCTTTGAGTATGATACATTTAAAAACAACCTAAATAGCTATGTTTTTTTGGTATTTTTTCTTTGGAATGTCGAAACAGTTATTGAATTAAAAGTTGAGCTTCTAATCTGAGTTTTGCTTGGTGCACAAGGGCGCATAATGTACAAGTGCCATTTATTTGCCTTTCGTTTGTATGCAAATGTTTTTTACACTAAAATTTCTGTTTTTTTTGTAAATCAAACAGGACTGACCTAGTTTTTTTATTGAAATCTTCTTAAATCTCATATCCTTTCTCATTGCTAAAGTTTATCTGATAGGTTAAACTGTCATCAGGGAATCTGACAGACTTTACTTCGAACTTGTTTCTCGTAATTTTTTCTTGTCCGTCATGTGTTTATTATTGTATCGCAATTTGCATTTGCAATTGCATCTGTTTTTAAATATTTTTTACGTTTTGTGAATAATTCAAAATACGCACAGCTGCACATATAAAGAAGCGTCAAGCAAAATACACGTATACATAGATCCATGAAAGTGTTGAACATTGACGTCAATTACATAATACCTCAAAGAAATTATTGTTGCTAAAGAAAAACATAGTTGTAGACATCGAAGCATTTCTTTACAATCCAGTTATAGTATTTTTTTGATGAAGGTCTACATTACCCACAAAACCGAAAGTGTGGTTGCAGAAAAGCTTATCAGTCAAATAAGCTTTCAAGGCAGTGTGATTAACGTCAAGAAATCAGTAAATACAAACAGATATGTACTCACAACAATGCAGTATATGTTAAACATCTTTTGTAATGCTTCATTGTCAATGTCACCTACAGAGTCATATTAGCATCAAAAATAATTTCTACATCTTCACCTGGAATTTTAAGTCAACTATTCCTTAAACATAACGGTCCACATATAAAATGCAGCGTTCAGTTATGCCTTGTCTGAAGCAAATCTACAAAATGTGCTTATAAAAGAATGCCTCGCATTATGGTTTGTCACAGAAACTAATAACCACGTAGATACTGCAGGAGAAGTAGGATTGGAGAGGGATGTAATTATAATGTTAGCGTCCAGCAAAACTCGCTTAAACCTGATTAGGAATCTGTAATGGAAGAGGTAGCCTCTTCATCCATGTGCAGTACTGATAAGTTGATCCTACTTGGGGATTTTATTGCAAAGGTAGGCCGTGATTCTGCCGCCTGGGATGGAGTCATTGGAAAGAGTGGGGTAGGCAAGTGCAACAGCAATGGCCTGCGCCTGTTGGAGTTATGCTCATCGTATGGTCTCCTTATAACCAACACAATATTCCTGCTGCCCAACCGGAACAAAACATCATGGATGCACCCCCGGTCGAAACACTGGCATCTCATCAACTACATCATTGTCAGGAAGAAAAACAGGCAGGATGTCAGAATTACCAAGGCCATTTGTGGTGCAGAGTGCAGGATCGACAACAGACTCATCATCTCTAAAATGAACATCCGCAGCAAACCAAAGGGACGTCCACAGGGATGCATGACTAAAAAGAGGATAAATGTTGCCAAGCTGAAAAACCATCAAACAAGTGCAGCTCTGTCCACAGACCTAGAATCCCAAATTGCCAACTTCAATCCTGGAGGTAACGTCGAAGAAGACTGGGAATCCTTTAGGGCACAGTTCACTCAACTGCAGTGCAAGTGTTGGGCTACCCTACCTGACATCAGCATGATTGCTTTGATGAGAATGATGATGAGATTCAGGCCCTACTTGATAAAAGCACAGACTTCATCGTGCTTACCAAAATGATCCAACTTCAGTCTACAAGAAGAACGCCCTTGCCAGTGCACGGAGAAAAGTTCAGAGGAAGCTTATGAGATATTTCTGGCTCAGTGCCAAGGCTGATGAAATCCAAGCCTATGCTGACAGAAATGATACAAAGCGGTTCTATGAAGCTCTAAACACCATATATGGACCTCGACCGTCAGGAAATTCCACTCTCTTGAGCTCAGATGAGTCTACACTCATTACCGAGAAGGAAAAGATCTTGCATAGGTGGGCTAAACATTTTGAAGCTGTCCTCAACCTGAATATTTTTCCTTTTGTAAAATACATAAGATGTGATCGCTAAAATGACGAGTGTGAGGACGCCAGTAGATATGACAACTATCAACATTATCTTTGTCGACTGTTGTATATTGGCAATGTTTACTACATAAATAGAAAAAATACTTCCTGGCTGAGTTACGTGTATGAATCATTCATTTCGAGAGTACTGAAGTTTTGTAAAAAAATAGTTTTTAATGCTGTTGAAAAGTTGCAACTTTTATCTTGCAAATATTACTGCTTATAGACAAATTCAGCGACCTAAAAATATAATCTGCAAGCTGTCAACAAAAAGCAAGATTGATATATGAGATCAATTTCATGATCATCGGGGGTTGTGGTAAATATAAGCATAAGTACGTTAATACATGCTTTTATTTAAGCGATTTTTGCATGTAGCTTCTTTAGTAAAGATAAAAACAACAACAATATATTTTTCCAATGATTGATGTAAGATGATATTTAATTTTATACACAAATAATTATAAATATGGTTATAGAATGTAGGTTGGAGTGCAATTAGGTATTGGTGATCAGTTGTGACTGATGAAAAGCTTAGATTGTAGATTTTTTAATATGGTCGAACAAAATGTTGCGATTTGCTTATTCTTTGTCAGTAAAACACAGTCATTAAAAAAAGTCATAGTGCAGATTATATTGTTGGACGACCTCAAATTCTGCGACAATGATAAAGAAGACTTGCCTGTGTGATTGTTGTTTTTGACAACATTAGTTTTTGTTGAAATATCCCTGACGACGTTTATTGTTGGCGATATAGCTGTTCCACCTGTATTGCATGCACTGCAGCGGTACCTGCCCTCATTTTGTACTTTTAAAGAATAGTTGAATGAAATGTATTTCCAATGTTTGTCGTCGTAGCAGGTATCAGATATGCAGATGAACCATTTGAAGGTTACTTCTTTTGTTTAATGTCTCTGGTTTAATGTACATTTCAACACCGAAAATCCCTTCTTCAAAACTATATTTTCGTTTCGAATTTCAATGCTAGGCTTAACTAAAAATTTAAAAAACTGAATTTAAAAAACTAAAACACACCCTAAAATTTTAATTTCATTTACCTCAAATACTTTTTCGAACAGGACTAATCAAGAATTTGTATTGAAATATTCTTGATCTCATATCCCTTCATATTGCTTACATTGATCTTGTAGGTTATATTATCATCAGGGAATCTGACAGACTTTACTTCAAATTTGTTTCTTGTAATTTTTTTCCGTCATGATATTGGCAATGTTGCTCAGCCGCAGAACAACTTGTTACAATCTGCTCGTTGGATCCATCATATTTTAAACCCCACCAAAAATGGTCGGCAGCAGGATAAGACTTTACGTTGTAGAAACGTCAAATTCCTTCCGTCAAAATCATCAGGCGAATCAACTAATATCCAACCAAGTCGGTCAGGTGTTATATTGAAACAGAGTTGTTAAATTATTTCCGGAAATTAAAAGAGAATGTTTGACCTTATACGGGATGAAATGAAGAGTTCTTACTTGCATCCCACCCAACTCTGCTGACTCACGTTTCTTTATCTTGCACGCTCAAGAAAAAAACAACCCCTTTTATTTCAAATGAAAACATTCAGTAAGAGATCAGTTTTTTCCCCCAGATGCCTACTGATAAATATAAATACAATTGTAAAATTTAGCTACGTCATTACATACATTAAAAAAAACAACCTGATATAAGAGATGATTGATTCATCTCTTGAAGATGGCTTTCTTGTGAGGAAACACAGTGTAGCGAACATGACAGAAATATGAAATTGTATTCAATTTGTATATACCAATTTGCTTTCATTTTCATGGTATATACATAATGTGACATGTAATGTATTTGAACAGTGATTTAAATTTCCAAAAATTACAAACGATGGGAAATTAATTTAGACAAAATAACTAATTAATTTACCTTTGAGTTTTATCGTAACTTTCTGAGAAGATTTGTAGTGAACGGGTTTTCTTTCAATTGAGCACTCGTAGATTCCTACGCTTTCAGGTGTTATGTTAATTGGCAACTTGCAGTCTCTTTTGCATTCCATTTCTGTCTTACCATTTCTTTTCCATGATATTCTGTAATAAATTGCTATTAAATATGAATGGCCAATAAGCTTGCAATTCAATGTAACACGTTCCTTGTAATCATATATTGTTTTGTCTGGTTCTTTTGTGATTAAAGGTACTTGATAGGATGGAGTTTCTGGAATATACAAAACAGTGATTCAATGTCAGGCTTGAGTAATTTCACAAAACAACGATCAAGTCAAAAAAAATAAATTGAGAAGTCGAATGAAATTTCATCAAAATTTTTTTGTTAAAGCAAAAACTATTAACTGGGTTAAGAGTAATTTGGGATATCATTTATCATATTGAGTCGTCTTACCTGATTGAACCATGACATGACATTGTAGCGCACTTGGCAACGGTTGCAGGTGTATATATCTGATTTTGTCAAGTTTGTAACATTGAAAACATTTTTGCTTAATATTTTTATTTGGTTGTTGTCAACATGTAAAATTTCTCGATTTAAATCGTTGTGATTTACACTGCAATTAAACATAACCCATTCACCAGGAAGTATGTATATTGGTATCGCTCTCCTGATAAAATTGAGAAAAACAACACAAATTTAGCGTAAATTATTTGTTCAAAGATGCAATTTTCGTAAATTTTCATCGCAGATAACGGTAAATTGAAATTGAGAGAAAACATTCATAAAAATAGTACTGAGTCACTTTCAATGAAAGATATAGTATATATATATATATTATGGAGAATATTCTTGGATAAAAGAGCGCTCAATATCTTATATAATAGGAGAGCGTAAGATA